GATCAAAAGTTAATAGAATAAACTTTGGGGCAACTTTTAAAAATGATCGATTATATTATAATGATATATTATATAAATGTGTAAATATATGGAGATTATTTTAAGAAGAAGAAAACAAGTCTAGATTTAGTAAATTAGTCTTATCAGATATTGCAATTCATTTGGTTTTAACATCAGTTCACACAGGACAAATCAGAAATTTAATTGGAATTGTGCTATGAACTATAGACCCACCTGATAGAGATGAGGATGGTGAAAAATTAGATGCTACAGGTTCAATGGTTAAATATTATAAAGTTCCTGTTGCTGGCAGTAAAACTTTACTAACTCCTTTAATTCAAAAAATATGATTATATTTTTTTCTGATTAGAATTTGTGATAAAGATTTGGCAAGAAAAATACAGAATAATATAACTTCTGAAGAAATTCTTGTAGATCCAAAAAAATTAAATGATCCAGAATTGAAAGATTATTTTCAAATTTTAGCTAAATATTATGGAGAAATTAATTGTGATCAAACAGGATATTTACTAAAAGACTAGAATTTTTATATGTGTTATCAATTTAGCAAAGATGAACAAAAAGTTTGTATGCTCTCAGAAAAAGATGATACAGACAGTATCATTTTTGACACAGCAAATTTTGCATTAATCTTAGTAGTTGATTATATGCCTAGATTTTTTAAAATAAGAAGACTTCATAACAAAATACCACTGCCAAATGCTCAAAATCCAAATCAACAAGATCCTTGATATTTAACAAATAATATATATTTTTTAGGTCAAAATTTTTCAATTCAAGCTAGACAAACAGGTTTACTAGTATATTTTAGCAATAGAGTAATTAAAATCCCATATAGATATAATGCCAATATTGAAAATATATATGAAATAGCAAATATAATTGCACAATAAATAATACAAGCACAACAAAGAGGAAATAGTAGTGGACAACCGATGGAAGAAGTTAAAAACGCAAAAATTTAATTTTTTTTAAAAAAATATATAAATATAGGAATTTTCTTTTTTTTTTATTTTTAATTTTTAATTTTATTCAAAATGTCTTGTAAATGCAAATATAATAATAATAAATTTAAAGATTGTTGTTATTATTCTAATTTCGAATCAATTAATAAAAAACAAAATGATATTAATAAAACAAATATTATTTATACTATGGCTATTGAACAAGTATTAGTTCAGTATTATTCGAATCAACAAACAAATCAAGACCAAAATCAAGAGCAAATTAAAAATAAACCAGATCAAACCCCATCAGAACAGGATGATAAAAATATAGAAATAGATAATCCTTAAGCAAAACAACCTATAATTAATAATTTATTTAATAAATTAAAAAAAGAAATTGAAGATACTCAAAGACCTAATGCTATAAAATTGATTGATAGTAGAGATTTAAATCAAAGAATAAACAATTTAAAATTATCCCCAAATTTAATTAGTGATTTACAAAAAATAAGAATATCAAAATTAGATAAATTACGTGTTGAACAATATAGTTATTATATTGATTTAAAAGATAAAACAGAAAAAATTACAACTTTAAATAATTTATTCAATACTATTAATGATGATAAAGTTTTAACAACATTGCAAATTTCAATTTTATTAAAAAGCATAACTGATAAAATTTTTAAAATTAATCAAAAACAAGAATATGATTCGATCAAAAATAGAATAGATAAAGAAAAAGATTCTACACGATTAAAAACTATTTGGAAAGATACTATTGATGAAGCTAAATATCTTGATAATAAACAAAAAGCTAAATTACATAAACTTAGAAATAATCAAAAATAAGAAATTCAAGGCTTAAAAAAATTTGACCAATATAAAATGAAAATTGAAAATGAAGTATTTATTTCAAATTTACTTGATAGAAAATCACTTAAAGTTTTAATAACAAATGATTCTTTGTTAACAGAACAACAAAAAAATTAACTTTATATATTAAGAAAACAAAGAATTCAAAACTTAACAGATAAAGTATTTGATGAACTTAAAAATAATATAAAAAATAAAAAAATTTTAAGTAAACTAGAAGATAAAAGATACTATGATAATAGAATTGATGAAATACGTGAAGAATTTTTAACAAATAATCAAAAAATAGAAGATCTACATATTCTTAGAAAATGGAAATTAGATACAATTCAAAGTAAAATTGAAGACAAAATATATGATATTACTTTTGAATTAATTGATCATTATCAGGATTTAAATGAACTTAATGATAATTCAGAACTTGCAGATGATATTTTAAAATTAAATCAAACATTACTTACTGGAAATAGAAAAATTAATAATTTAACTACAAAAAAAACAAAAATATAATAATAACTTATATGATAATTTTGCCATATCAATAAATATTAAAACAAATGTTGAAGGCCTGCAAAATAATTAGAAAATAAGAATTGATACTGAAATCGAGAAAAATATCTTTTGCAACCTAAAACAATAGAAAATTTATATAAACTACGAGAAGAAAAAATAGCATTATTAAGACAACCACTTTCACCTAAACGACTAGCTAAAAATGAAGATGAAAATGAAATTTATTTAACTACAAGAATAATCGATAATGCAAAACCAAATAGAAATTATAATAAAAATGATATTGTACAAATTTCATAGATTGTTGATGAATATAAAAAAACTTTAGACAAAGATGATAAAAGAAAATTTATTTCAAGAGCTAAAACAAATCATGCTAAAGATTTAATAAAAGATTCTTATACAAAAAGTAAAGATAGAAAAACTTTATTAGATATTCTCTATTATAACTGAGTTTTAGGAAAAGATAAAAAATTTTTATTAATTAGATATACTATTAAAAAAATTGAAGAAGCAAAAACATTAACGAATAATATTAATAATTATATTTGGGTATTAACAAAAAAATAAAAACTGAAAAAAGAAGATTAGAAAAAGATCCAAACTATAAAAATCTAAAAAAATATTCACAATTATTTACACCAAAAACCCTCTTTTAAAAATCCTTTAGCATTTTCTGAAAAAAAAATTGATAATATTATAAATATTAATCAACTAATGATTCAGTATCAAAATTCTTTATTAGACAAGCTTTTGATTACACCACAAAATATAGATGAAATTCAAAAAGCATTGCTTGAGGAATTAACAAATATTCTAATGATGATGATAAAAAAATATATTTAACTAAAGTTTTTAAATTTTTAGTTACAGGAAAATTTGATATTAATAACAATGATGAATTAAATAATATATTTAATTTTGATTTTTTATTTTAAATAGGTATACATATTATATTAAATTTAAAATTGTAATTCATATATCTAATAATAAATATTAATATTGTTATATTATAAATAAATATTTTATAAATTCTAAATATTCTAGTTAATTGTAAAAAAGCTACAGTATATGCATAATATTCTGAATAATTATAAAAAGTTTTTTTAATTTTATTTTGTAAAAAATTTTTTAATTGATTTAATACTATATTATTTTTAATTGTTAAACAAGTAGATTCTGGTAAAAAAAATAAATTTGATCAATATATTGATCTATAAAATTTTTAAATTTTTTTTTAGATTCTTTAAAATTTAAATTTTTATAATAATTAAGATTTATTATAACTGTTTCAATAGCACTAAGTAATGAATTTATATCTTTATCTTTATTTTTAAGGACTTCATTAAAATTCTCACGTAATTCATTAACTATTTCTTTTAAAAGTTCAAATGTAGTTTCAAAATCATCTGTACCATGTATTTCTTTTATTTGCTTAAATTTTTCTTGTAATATTTCATCTTTGTAATCCATTTTTATTTTTAAAAATATAAAACAATAATCTTTATATTTATATAAATTAAAGCAAAATATATAAATATAACTTCAAATAAAATATTTCGATAAAATGTTAATTCAAAACTTATTAGTTTTATTTTTATTAATTAATCAAATATTTGCATTTTTTTGCAGATATTATAATAAAAAAATAGAATAGAACAAAATTTCAAAAGAAGAAGCAAAATTAATTTGGGATCTAGCATTTTACCCTCAAAAATATCATGAAATTGATTCAATTATTAAAAAAAATTTACTTAAAAATTATCAAGATTTAACATCATTAGATCCTCCAGAAAAAATTTATAATCTAATAGAACAGTCAAATTTAAAATTAAAACTAAAAATAAAACTTCATAATTTTTGTACAAGTAAATATTTCTATTTTCTTTTTATTATTTTAAAGATAAATTTAGATCCTGCATCTCTGCATAATATTTAAATCTAGCATCTAGGGTGCTATATACTTATATATTACATAAAATTAAAAAATAAAAATTTAATATAAAAAATAAATTTATCTGATTTTATTAACAACTTTTAATAAAGATAGATCTTCTAAAATATATAAATATTGTATGTTATGTATTAAGTGTCTAGAATTATTGAGTTACGAATCTACGAATAGTACAGTCACATGATATTATATACCATCTATCCTAACTATTAACAACTAAACTATGTGATTATGCATTGTCTCTAAAACTACCCCAGCATACCTAGTAAAAAAAGGTGGGCATATAACAATAGACCAATAACTGATCACGATTTGACGTAACGTGGTGTGATCAGGAAGATCTAAAAAAAAACTTTAGTAACACATGAGAAGTTGGTTTATTATCTTCGTCAAATCACTTATCTACCAATCACAATCCACACAGATGATCAGAGATGAGAAAATTGGAAAATTTGGATTTATGTGTAAATATTGATATATATTTAGTTAACAGAAAAAAAAAAGCTTTATAATTTTCTCTGTTACGATTCTTATATTTATTATCATTACATCCTTTAGAATCAAAAAAGATCAAACTATACAGTAAGTTGCTATACTATTGATCTACCTCTTATTGTCTTTATGAAAAGCTATATTGTGGCCT